TCTGCTTGTTCTTATAATATAGTCCAACTTATTTTTATATTTTTATATTTATCCTCTGCACTTGAGTTCTTCTCGTTTCATGAAAGTCCTCCTAATACATATAGTGTCTTTCTTTTTGGCAGCATTTTGTAATCCCTTTGTGATCTCCGTGACAATGAATATATTTGTTTTCTCCTTATTGTTTCATTGGGCAGTTTTTGTCATAGAATGACCTAAAATCCTTAGAAAGGGTTGCCAGGTTTGATAAATGCCTGAACTACCAAGAGCCGAGGAGTGACAGCAGGAAGATCAGTTGGACGAGATTGAATGGTAAAGATTTCCATAAAAAAACATTATATTCGTAAAGTGTACAGCTAATATATATATATATATATTAATTAATTTTATATAAAAAAATATATTTTTGAGTGGGCTGTATCTGTCGAAAACTGCTAGCTACTGTCTGCTGTATGCACCTCTTACGAAATGAACTATAAATGAACTATAGTATTACTATAGTATACTATAAGGCAGTGACCACCAACTGGCGGCCCGCGGGCCACATCCGGCCCGCCAGACATCTGGCCCGCCAGACATTCGGACTGTGGCGTTGGCGGAGTGGTTGCTGTGTTCGCCCCCCACCCATTTTTACAATGTTTNGTAAGTTTGTAGTGTTCTGTAGTATTTTTCACCTGCTATCGTATTACTATAGTTTTTTCTGTAGTGCCATTTTATTAGCTATAGTATCCCTATAATATTTCAATAGTGATACTATGTATCTAGATCTTTGTAGTATTCCTATATTATTTTAAATAGTATATCTATAATATATAGTGTTTCATAGTTGTTTTTTAAACACACTATAGAACACTCCTAGTAATATCATGATATTGTCATAGTGAATGCATATTATTACTATAGTGTTTGTAAAAGTACTACTATAGGTTTTTTGTTGGTGTTTCCGTATTAAGACTATATTATTTTAAATAGTACTACTATAGTATAATATATAGTGTTTCTGTAGTTGTTTTTTTAACACATTATAGAACACTCCTATAGTAGTAGTATGATATTTTCATAATGAATGCATATTATTACTATAGTGTTTGTAAAAGCATTACACTCCTAGAATTAATGTGTCATTTTTTTTTAATCAAATTAATTGATTTATATATATATTAGCTGTATACTTTNTGTAAAAGCATTACACTCCTAGAATTAATGTGTCATTTTTTTTATAGCAAATTAATTGATAGTTCAGGCATTTATCAAACCTGGCAACTCTGGGCTTCCTGGCAGCTGTCAATCAAAGTCCAGTGGCTCCGCCCCAAAGTGTGAGAAACTTTCCACGCGCGCGCAGACAGACTCCGCGAGCGAGTGAGGCTGACACTCCCGCGAGCGAGCAAGAGGGCGGTCTGAGCGCGAGGGTCATTTCATGCGCGTGTAAAAGCACATTTTCCGCGCGCTAGAATATTGACCCAAATTTGACTCCATAAAACCCCTCATTCCAATCTAATCAAAACGGATGGATAAAACATGATGGAACTGGACATGGAGGTCTTGGTGCAAAAAAGTGAGTCCGCGTGTGGCCTGTTTGTTAGTCCAAAGTGACATTATTTTAGATTCCTAAACCAATTCTTTATTTTTTGGTTTTGTTTTGGGCGTCTTACATTGAGTCGCTACTGGCTGCTTTTTTAGTTCTGTTGTGGGGCTTTAAGGAAATAGTTGCTGATTTTGTTTTGCCTTCTTCCTCCGCTCTCCTCTTCCATCCTCCTTTTCATCCTTGACTGTACATACCTTCACTTTATTTCTTCCTTCTCCTTTATTTTTTCTTACATCCATTGTACCTCCTTCTCCTCTCCTGGCACTACTTTTCTTCCTCTCCTCCTGCATGCTCCTTGATCCTCTTTCTTCTCCTCTCATAGAGCAGTTGGAGCGTGTAGAGGAGGGCTTGGATCAGATCAACTCTGATATGAAGGAGGCCGAGAAAAACCTGACAGACCTGGGCAAGTGCTGTGGCCTCTGCTCCTGTGATAAGTATGTGTGTGTGTGTGTGTGTGTGTGTGTGTGTGTGTGTGTGTGTGTGTGTGTGTGTGTGTGTGTTCGACTGGTACACATGTTCTGAGAAAACTACAGAATATGGTGGTCCCTCATAGAAAAACTAAAGAAAGCTTTCCATTAAAAAAGTGATTTAGAATTAAAGGAATAATTCAACATGAAAATTATTATTTGTACCTGTTAACAAACACTCACAGCAGCACAGCATAATCCTTTTGAAACTTCCTTTTTTATGAGTATGCGTGCTACGTGTATCAGTGAGACTTCAATTACATATATATTTACATTCACATTTTTACTCTCACTTTATCAAAAGGATGCTGTTCTTGTGCATCACATTTAGCAGGGTGGACTACCAATATAAATGCATTCATAAGGAATGTCTCTCTTTGTCTCTCTCCATCTTTCAGACTAAAAGCCTTTGAAGGGAGCGGGGCGTACAAGGCAGTTTGGGGTGGAGGCTCCGGTCAGGATGGCGTTGTATCCAACCAACCACCTTCGTCTCGAGTCGTTGATGAGAGGGAGCAAATGATCATGAGCGGAGGACACATACGGAGGTATTGAGAGAGGTTAATGGAGTGTGTATTGTTGGTTGCTTGTTAGGAGAGGCAGCTGTGTAATGTAATCTCATGTAATGTAATACTAGTCATCAGTCATACGGGCAGCTGGCCAAGCACAGGCCGTTAACACAAACACATTATTCTGCTCTATCTCAGGGTGACTAACGATGATAGGGAGGTCGAGATGGACGGGAACCTGGCTCATGTCGGCAGCATCCTCGGAAATCTGAAAAGCATGGCCCTGGACATGGGCAACGAGATGGACATGCAGAACAACCAGATTGAACGCATACAGGGCAAGGTACAACTGTCATATGACACATTACCCTAATTCTTACTTGATTTATTACCGCGGTAAACATTTTCCTCAAGAGTTTATGGTCCCATTCAGAGACTTTACTCATAGTTCCTTAAACTTGTTTGGTTTGGGTGTTGTCTTTGAACTTTAATTCTTTCGCAGGTTTTCAGTTCATTCAGTTCAGGTCATTTCAAAGTGAATTCTTATTTCCTACAAATATGAATTCCAGGGTTCTGTAATACATGGCTTTACCCTCTTTTAGTTAATAAAAAACCAAGAATGCCACGTTCAAATTGTCAAACTTGAGGATAAAACACTGTAGTCTACAAACCTATGGGTGACGTCAATCACAAAAGCATATATAAACAGAGCCCATTTACAATTGTAATCAGAAGCAAGAAGCAAGACAGGAAGGGAGCTGGAAGTCTTCTGGGATTCATTCACTGACAAGCATAAATTGTACAATGCACTGTTATTTTCAGCAAGAGCCAGCATATGTGACGATGAGTAGGAATTGAACGTTAGTGCTTACTTTGTACTCATCGTCACACACTGTCTTCCGCTACGTTGAGAGAAAGGCTGAGAAGTCCAGCAGGTCTCCCGTGTCATTTACGTTTGCTGTTTCTTTCCTCTCTCTACAGGCTATTCTCAATGTGTCACGCATCGATGCTGCGAACCAGAAAGCCAACAACCTCATAAAACGATAGAAGTAGCACTTTTCCATGTCACTCTTTTTTTAAAGCGTATTTATCCTACAGTAGCATTACTATGTTCTGCATGCTGTGCCAAAGTGTTGCTGCTGTTAATACATACTAAACATAGTTCTTTTTTTAAGTAGAGTTTCCTTGCTGTTATGTTATTGCTGTGATTTCACTATGGGACTTACATTCTGTGACTCTTAGTTACAAGATCTCAATTTGCTCTTGTGTTTCTATTTATTCTCCTAATATTCTAGTAGGTAGTCATAGCTTCGCAGCAAGCCCTTTGTTGTTTGTTGTTACATTCCCCCCGAGGTGGCTTCTGCGGTCACTCGGCAGAGAATAAGGACATTCTGATGATCCCTGTGGGGAAACTGGGTCACTGCAGCACAATGAAGACAAAAACAAAATGTAAACTTGTGGAAAACAGCAGCGAAAAGCAGCTCCTTGACCCAGGGCGTGTATCACCGAAAAGCTGCCTTTTACTTCTACGGGTCAGATAATTATAAGTTAAAAAAACAGCTGTATGTGTGCAGGATAACCAAAATACTATCAACGAACAGCTCCCTTCCCAAATGCAACACCATTGTATAACACCCCTCCCCCCTTTCTCTAGTCTAAGATGTCCCATAACACGTGCGTGTTGGCGCCCTCTGCAGGTGCAGTCGGGTATTGCCCAGAAAAAGGAAACACGCATTTGTCCTCAGACAAAGACCTTTTGCGACACCAAGCGGACAAACATGGAACCTGCTCCTCTAATGATCTCTCCATCTTCTCTCGTCTCATGTTGATGTAAAATGGTGGTGAAAAATGACGATGAATTGGTATTGTCTTATAATGTGATCTCATCAAGCTTTTGCAGACACGGTTAAAACAATTCGGCAAAATAAAAACTGTTTTGGGCTTTTTGCTGCATGCTTTTGATATTGTCAATAAACATGTTTGGATTTACTTTGTTGCATCACCTGCTGAGTTTGCATTATTATTGTCCTAAGCCAGTATTGATCTACATTTGGGCGTGGAGTATTGCTAAAATTATTATGGTTTTTACTCGATTGTATGGGTAATTATAATAGGCTGTATAAGTATAATAATGTGTTTGACTTTTGAAGACTAGAAAAACATGCACAGCTAGAGAACTTTATATATTTCTGTATATTGTGATGAAATGCTAAAACATGTTCTTAAAGAATACTTTATCGAATAGAAATGTGGCTATGGACTCATATTGTCAAACTGGAGGGAGGGGCAAGCGGTTATCTTTTGGTGGGTCATACTACAGCTTTGTGAAGAGGATTAATCATCAGTTTTTCACATAAAATAAAAAACACGAGTTAAATGCGCATATTTTATGAGTTTTGTGTTTACTTTATTTGAAAATGGACGTGATTTGTGCACGGTGTAAGGGGGGGCAGCTGTGGGCGCGCAGAGAGCTGAAATGTTGCGCGTTCAAGGGAGGAAAAAAAATATCGGAGTCTGCGCAGTCCCGTTGTTCTCGACTCTCCGAACTTTCGGGAGAACCACGGAGGAAGGAGGGGAGGTAGAGAGAGAGAAAACGCAATTTTTCCTGGTAATTATTTTAACATTTTCAGCTTTTTACTTTGCACGTCACCATATTGTCTTGATAACACACTATACGCGTGATATAAATACAAAAGCAAGTATACTCGTCATAGCTTCAATGCGAACAACGGAGCTTAGCACCAGAGCAGACATTACGTCCTCTACCTCCACCACTAAGTGCCGCCTAACGTGAGCTGTTTCTCGGTGCAACGGAACCGGCACACAGATAGAAGACGCTGTTTTGCGAACGCTCGCTTTACATGCACGGTAAATCCACACAACTGCGCTTAAATTCGCTGTAAATCCGGCTTTTCCGTTTTATCGCCACGGCGTGTTAGCGCTACGGTGCCCTCAGAGATGGCGGAGTCTGTGGGCTGGCTGCTCCTTGTGTGAGCTCAACAAAGACACACTAGCCCACAGCTGATTGGCTCAGAGGACCACGTGGTGAAAGCAGACGCAACGCTAATTTAAATCTTTTTGAGAAGTTTTTCTCAATAATAATAACATGTTCTATATAAAGAGCGATTTCAAGGTACTCACAGACACTACATATCCAGGGTAAAATTCATTAAACAATTCTTCAAAAATCATGAAAAACGACACACACTCAAAATAGAAAACAAACAATATTAATTAAACATGAATAGCAGCTGTCAAACATTATTCAAAAGTTCATATCTTATACATTTTGGTAGCTATCAACACTATACTTGCGTGTTACGGTAAAAACATTCAACAAAATGTAGCTAAAATTGTAATTTTGTTGTTTCTTTATTTTAATTTTATTATTATTTGTATTTGTCTTTTAAATTGCACTGTTGAGTAACTTGAGATCTTAGTTTTTCATACATTACATAATTACACCGTAGTGTTGTATATGTTATGACAATAAACCTTATGAATCTTGAAAAAATATTGAATCTTGAAATGGCTCTTTAAACAGAGATAAAACACTATAATAGGACACTGAATGTATTATTTTGATATAGTTATGGGTCCTAAAATAAGAAGAATTTTGAGGTTCTACTTTGATTTAGTCAATATCGCCACAGTGTTGCATGTTTGGTGACTATAATGTTAGTTTCTGACTTTTAAAAGCCGATAGATTAGTTTTTTTGTTATTTCATCAAAATCTACCCCTCATCACAGTTACAAGCCAACCCTAAGTGTATTTCTATAATATGGCATTTTTCATTTTAAAATACTACCAGGAGGCACTGTAGAGACACATTCTGGAGGAGTTTCCTTTGCTATATGTGCACCACATATAGCAACAGAGACACAGAAACAACAATACGTAGCAAAACAAATACAATAAAAATAGGGCTATGATGTCTATTTTAAGAATCTATTTTAAGACTATTATAACAAATTAACAATATTTACATATGAGAAATACTATATGTATTTATAGAGAGTACTCTGTGAAAACAACCACAGTCCAGCTCTAAAGAACAACATTGCACAAATGTTCCTCTATACTTTTTTGGTCAGCCATGGTGTTTCTTCATCTCTGTATCTGTACTCTACAATATGTTCTTTTTAAACCTCAAGTCATCAGCGGCATTCAGGTTGTGTGAAAGTACCATATGAGTCATATCAGGTAAATACATGTATTTATTATGTGGAGATTCTAAACTATGAGAAATGCATTAAATTATCCTTTTAAGGAAAACCTTTGTACTTTGATTCTGGCCTATACTGCCACTGAGTGTAAGACTTTTCCTTCTCCCTTAAGCAATATTCATTTGGTTGTAGAACATTTTGGGAAAAATATCAAATTTAAGTTAGTCTTCTCATCTTTATTAACAAATATAAAAACAATGAAAAAATATATTGAAATGATTAAAAAAAATATACCAACCGTATTTAGATTTGAAAAGTGTTTTTAGACAATATACTTAACATATTTTTTTGACACATAACTAGCCGTCAACTAATCCAGCTAATCCAAATATAGCAATTTCAAAAAAGCTTGTTCGCCCCTGCTGTTTTTATGTGACGTAACCGCTCCAATACAGTGGGTGTTAACTGATGAATGTCGTACACCAAAACATGAAAGTCGTTTAAGCTTGTGTTAACCACCGAAAGTGCTAATATGCTAACTCATATCCAGGTTGCGACTCATTCCTGCACCCATCCACTGTATATGCAACCAATAGCTGCTAGTATAAGCGTCTGTGCTACACGGTGCTGCTGAATTCTGTATTTCTGCTGTTGATGCTAATGTTAAGTCCTGATTTAGCGTTTATTTCCCTTTACTTAGTGACTTCGCTCATGTTTTCACATTGTGTCTTCTCTGTATAGCATTCTCCCCTCTGTTCCTAATATTTCTCGTTTTGTCTCCCGCCCGTTGCTGGTGCAGTCAGAGGTGTCTTTTTGTGGATCAGGAAAAGACGGTCCTGGAAGGCGGTGAAATCCACCAAACTGAGTCGCAAAAGGCCAGCAGAAGAGGAGGTGTGAAGGTGTAGCTATGTCGGCTGTGTGGCGTGAGGAAGATGAGGAGTTCAAGGTGGGAGGAGCCAAAGGAGGGTTGAGATCCAAACCCCGGTTCTCCTTCACTGAGGTCAAAGTGCTGCTGGAGGCGGTGAAGAGGAACAGATTCATCCTCCTCAGTGAGTGGAAAGGTGTGTGTGTGTGTGTGTGTGTGTGTGTGTGTGTGTGTGTGTGTGTGTGTGTGTGTGTGTGTGTGTGTGTGTGTGTGTGTGTGTGTGTGTGATTTAGATCGTTGTTCAAATCAAAGTTTATTTATAAAGCACATTTTAAAGCGATTTTTGGTCGGGCCAAAGTACTGTACATGTAATAAATACTACAATCACATTGCTACAATCACAATAAGTTGTTGTATCATTGTTGTTCACTACGATCAGATTAAACCAGGAACATGGTGACACCAATTTATTTATGATAGTTACACATAGTCTGATGAATAATGTACATGTGGTACAGTTTCATAGCTATAAACTAAATTTACAACAGCCAGGTTTTTCTTTGTCATCACCATTTACATTTATAACCAACAACAACCCATTACAAATTAATAAATAAATAATGGTTTAATAGGGCACATTAATAAAAGAAAACGTATTGCAATTTCAGGGTTTTTTGGGGAAATAGTGTAGCCTACATTCTTACTGTTGCTGCAGCAGAATTTTAAAAGCTGTGTTACTTTGTCCTACTTGACTTATCTCCCCGGGTTTGTTTTAACTTTAATAATGTATCAAAGAACCTGGTGTGTTATAGCAGAGGCAGGAGCAGAATAATTGAGTTGATCAAAGTCAGGCCTTGGAAGGGCTCAGTAACAGGTTACCGGGGGTTGTTAGGTCATATCTTGCAGGAACACTTAACAGGAATAGCAAAGTGAAAATGACTGAAGGATAAGGCAGCCTTTGAAGAGGGTCATGTGGGCAGTTCGGCAGTTCAGGTAAAGTTCCACTGAGTGTTTTTGTCATGTGATTGTCGGTCTTAGCCGAGTCATTGTTGGCTTCCCAGCTGCACAGAGGAGACAGGATGTTTCCTGATGGAAGCGTTTGAGTCACTTGATGAAGAGTTTTTCCGTTTCTGATCATGTTTAATGCTGCATTTATCTATTATTTATTTATCTTCTGTGTGAATACCTATACCTCTGTCCGTACCTGTCTCACCTCCCATATCTCTCCCTGTAGGGAAGTTTAACCAAGGCGTGTCGGCTGAAGCCAAGAAACAGACCTGGACTGAAATCACCAATCAGATCAACGGTCTGGGAGAGAACCACAGAGAGGTTTGAGACTGATTACTATTGATTATGTTTAGTCCTATTAATGATAATGGATGTGTGAATTCATAAACTATCTGTGATTTAAAGTTTAAATATTCCATGAACTCACAAGAGAAATGGGCAAAATGAGGGAATGAACATTGAAAACTATTTTGGGTCCTGTTACAATCTCAGAAGCCCTCAGATTGATCTTGCGTAATCCTTACAGGTCTACACGGGTTACCACTCCTAGTTGTTTTCTGATTATTATCAGTTCATCATTTCAGTCCAGAAAGTTAGATAATCTCCATCAAATCGGTCAGAGCCTGTCGAGGTCTTCAAACGTACCCTTCAGAATGAAGCACTATTTAACGTTATATTTGCTAATCTGACATGGAACCAGAGAGCATTTTTACTTGATTCCTTGGTTGATACATGCATCAGTTAAATACATGGTGTCTCAGAAGAAGACATTTTAAAAGAGGTTTAATTTTCTCCCAGGTGCGTCAGATCATGAAGAAATGGGCGGACCTGAAATGTGACGGGAAGCGACGCGCCTTGGCCCTCCGGAGCCCCAATGGGAACAACATGAGGAAGAAGAACCTGGGCCCCATAGAGAGGATGGTGTACAAGATCCTCATCATGAGTCCCAGAGCAGGTTAGCAGAGGCGGCGGGGGGGGGGGTCTGTGGTTTCAACACTCGATGTATGATCGGCCCTGTGTTCTCAGAGCTACACAGCAGTGTAAGAAAACAGGTTTGGGCCCTGAAGCAGTTTGAAACATGACAAGATGTGTTGGTTCTCAGGTGGCGACAGTGATCTGGAGATGGGTGAAGATGAAGATTTTTCAAAGCTTTACAGTAAAGGCCCAGCCCCCAACACCACCACCTACTCCTACCTCAGCTTGACGGACAGTTCCCACTCTGTACCTGGAGGAGGGGCCTCTTTTGACCTGTCTCCTCTCTCCTCCCCAGAGAAGGATCTGGATGGTAAGTACAGTGCGAGAATCATTGCAACAAGTCCGAGGGGGGATTGGCCAGTTCCACATCACTCACAGTTTCTATATTCCATCACGTATTCAACATGTCTTATTGCTGCTTGTCCATGTCTTGCAGGCAACCCTTTCCACATGTCCTCCGACTTGGACATGGGTGACGCTGGAGGTAAGACTGTAGATCAAAACAGCTGCTGTTCTCTGCTTCTGGCCACAGGGGGGGGGCCCTTTACATTTACATGGATACAATTGTGATATGGCCTTTGTCGGGGCGAGGGCCTTAAACTTTGAACATATTTTGGGAACAACTATTTTATTATATTATCTATAAACTGACTGACAGACGGCTGCTTGAAAGCTTTCACAACGTCTCTTTACACTGATTGTTAGACCTCCTAGCTAATGGGGAATATTTCGTCTTCAGGACAAATGATTGGACGACAAGGAGTTTTAACAATGGCCTGTTTTTTTTTTTAATTACCCAGAAGAATAATGTTTCTGCTCTGTGATTCAGAAGGCAATACCTTGATGGGGATCGCCACATCCTATGTGCTAGCGACAGAGCAATTAGGACGCTGACAGTACGGGGCAGTTTTTAAAAAATCTGTAAAGATTCAAGACTAAAGACAGATATCTGCATACATGTTCTGTCAACAGACTCATAAAGACGCTAGGGCTGTGCATCTTCACTGTTCACACGATTCGATTACGATTATCCTGTCAGCGATTCGATATCACGATTCATAACAATGCGTTGCATCCTCAATTTTCTATATTACTACACATGGCTTATTTTTCATCAATGAATACATGCAGTAAAATACATCTTTTTATTATTTAGAAACTGCGTCAGAAATCAATAACATAAATATCTTGACATTCAATTATAAATCAATTGTATAGCTCTAGCATCCCTATATCTGTGTGTGAAATTGTTCCATCCCCAAAAACAAAAAACTAATGCTTCTGCAGTCTAGCTGCAGCTTCAACGGTCTTCTGTTAAAAAAAGGACACTGAATGTCCTGAATGTGGCATCACACACATGACTTGAGTCTGAACACAGCAGAAAACAGGAGTTTTACAACAGCATTATAAAAACAAAAATAGTGCATGTAAGTGTGCACCCCACACTTATTCTCTGTCGTACTGTTACATAAATCCCATGAATGTATGTGATTAAATTAGCTTCATCATATCATTTGTTTAAGTGAATAATAAAGTTTCTATCAGGTTCCTATCAGCCTGTCACTCATTATTTTCAGGGCGGAAAGCTTTCCTCCTGCCTTCACAAACTTCAACACGTATTTATCGTCTGAAAATAGCAAGAGGACATTCATACTCTGCAACCCAAGACTTGATTAAATCCACCAAAAACCTGACAAGGTGCTAACGCGAATATTTTTAAAAAACATAAATCCCTGTGTGTCTCTGAGCCGCGGGTCACTCTGCTGTTGGTTCTGGACTGGTGTTCTTGTGTTGGTGGAGCAAGCAGACTGCTCCGTGTTGGGTTTGGTGTCGCTGTGCCGCTGTCACGTCTGTTCCCTGATCTCTGCGTCACCCACTGATTTGATATTCGTGTGACAGAAAAAAAAATGTAATTGTACAGCCGCGGCCGGAAAATCAGGAAGCAACGTTACTACGCTATAATCGATTATGTTCTGTGACTTCATTTCAAACAACCTTAAAAGACACTCTTATGACTCATTTCAGTACTAAACAGGTACTGCTATTTATGGAGTCACACACCCCCCGTCGCTTTCTGGGTCAGCTGGGGACGTATCCTCCTGATGTTGTAAAGCGTGTATCTGCACCAGCGGGTTGTAGCAGCAATGTTTGCAGTGAAGGACAGTTTGTTATCTAGGATCACACCCAGATTCCTTGCTGTCTGAGTCGGGGAAACAACAGAGGTGCCGATGTTGATTGTTAGGTCAAGAGTGGGACAATCTTTTCCCGGAAGGAAAAGCAGTTCAGTCTTGTCAAGGTTGAGCTTGAGGTGGTGAGCAGACATCCACTGAGAGATGTCAGCTAGACAAGCGGAGATGCGTGCGACGACCTGGGTCTCTGAGCGGGGAAAGGACAGAATTAATTAGGTGTCGTCAGCGTAGCAGTGGTATGAAAAATCATGTGGGCTAATGACAGATCCGAGCGAGTTTGTGTACAGGGAGAAGAGGAGGGGACCGAGAACATGGTCCTGTCAAGATAACTGTGACATTACTAAGATTTTATTTTTAATACCACTAACCTATATACATTTTTCTGTCTGCTCTTCTGTGGCTTCTTCTTAAAACTGATTTAAAGCAAAAGTATACATTTAAAATAAATACTAATATCTTTGTAAAGTTGAAAGCGAGTTTTAAGTTGTTTTATTCTCTGATCTACTAGAATATGCCTTGGACTTCGAAGAAAACGACGACTCCATGTTCTTCCTCCCTCAACCCCCACCCTCCGCCTCCCTCACCTCCCTGGACCCCCTGCCTGACAACGCCCTGCTGAGGATGAAGCCTGTCCACACCTACTCCCGAAACAGCCAGAGCAACACCACCTCCCCAAAACCTCCCCCACCAGTACCCTTTTTCTCCGGGGCCTCCACCTCCTCAGTTATCCCTTCGGCGTCTGGTTCAGAAACTGCCTCCTCTGCTGCTGCGCACCCCCCGTCGCAGCCCCTCATAAGCTCCACCATTACCTTCTCCCTCCCTGTTCCTTCCTCCTTATTTGCCCTCCCTCCCCCGCCTTCCTCATCCAAAGTCTCTAAACCTGCGCCCTCCATCGCGCCGCCTCCCGCCTCCTCTGTTGCTTATATCGCCCCCTCCTCTTCAATCCTCCCTCCCTCCATCTCCAGCGCTAATCGTGACCCTCTCCCGGCCGGAGGGGCCCCCCGCAGGACCCATGATGCCGTGGCCCAGATGGCGTCTCAGGGCCTGGAGCAGCAGAGGGCCAGCAGGATGCTCCTGAGCTCCGTGTCCCAGTCTCTGGAGGTGCTGGCCCAGTCGGTGCAGCTGCTGGTGGAGAGCCAGCAGGAGTTTGTTCAGGACTCCCTGCAGCTGCAGCGGGAAACGGTGGACATCCTGAGGGACTTCTCCAACACGGCGATCACCATGCTGAGGGACAAAACCACTAACCACCCTCCTGCCCCACGCTTCTGAAACACAGAGATGTTTCCACAGACATGGTGCAGCTGTAGTTCGGCAGATTACAGGAGACGTGTGGAGGTCTTCTCCTGCTGGGCTGCTGAAATCAGGACAATGTTCGCCCGAAGGCACAAACATGCAGTTTAAGGTTTGTTTCTGTGTTTTCCTCACTTTAAATCGTCTTTTTTTTAAAAAGGTGGCGTTTGGAACTGACTGGATTTTACCTGATCACTGAATGAGGGGAAATGGACAAAAGAACATTAATGTGTCAGTAGAATAGAAGAGTACTAACCCTTGCTGTGTCTCAATTTGGATACTTCTCTTAGTACACTGTGAGTACGCAGCTACCCGCTGCAGTGGAAATGCGCCATAAGGCACTTGAATTTGGACTGTGTAATGTCTCAAATGGAACAAGACTGCCGACCCTCACGAGAAGTTACGATCTCCGCTGTTCATTAGCTAGCCGGAGCAAGCCAAGTAGTAGCCAAGATGGCGGCCGTCGAGTGTGAAAGTTGTCCAGTGTTTTGACCGTAGTGAGCGCACAATCTGGATACTCAACAGTAGAGAGAAGATACAGAAGAACGCAGCTCCTGCCTCCTTTGCCCGACATCTTAACGTGTGACACGACTTCATGGCTGATCTTTACCACATCTTGTTTGTGATGAAACGACCACTTGATAATAAAAGCATTAACATTTCCTGTGTTACTTTTTCTACAGACCATGAAAAGATTCCACCCAAAAACACAACATTTTCTGAAATGACTCGTTCACAGATTTCTAATGGAAGACATTTGTTTTTCTGAATGTTCAGAATATTTCTGATCTTTCATGCAGTGGATTAAAGAAAACATTTCTAAAATGATTCATGGAAACATCAAGATGGGACATTCCTAGCAGCCAATGCTAAATCTCTTTGGAGGTTAGTTTACTTGCTGAATGGTGAAACAGCAGATTTGATGCAGAATGATCTTGAACGGAAGATTGTGATACCCCATAATCCTTTACTTCAACCTGACCACATGGCAAGCATCACAAGTTATTTATGTTTCTGGAACAACATGGAAGTCCTTAAATCTCCAAGTGTGTTTTACATGTTGTACAAAATAGCATTTCATTTAAATACTGGTGTTATATACACACAAATATGCCTTTTGTGTTCATCAATAAAAAATCAATTTGAGCGCAATAACATATTTCAGAGGTTGTGCTGCACACAATAGATCTCTGCTGTAACAACAGGCTAAACAAATTCTGAGAATAAAGATTTGATTAAGAGAAGAAATATATATCACTGATAATTGTTTTCTGTCTGTGTGTTAGACACATTTTTATAATTATCCTATTATCTTTTCTAATCTATAGATTTATCATTGGCCCTTTTTTGGGATAGAAACTATTACTCATATATCATAAACTAAGGCCTATTATAGAACTTCTAGAACAATGACAAAAAAGTCACTAAAAATGTATAATAACGTATAGAAGTTGTCATAAAATTGTTAGTATAGTGACTGCAGTTTTTTGGCTCAATGGTGTTGAATGCCGAGCTTGAGGAGGGAGACAAAATGTGACTGCCTTGTCACAGGTGCAGATCTTTAAAACCCAGTAGAATTTGCAACTGCTTGAAATATACAACAAAGGTCACAAGAGCGGATCAAACCCGGTGCATTGTGGTCATTTGGCCGGCTGTCTAGTCTATGGTCTAGGCCAGGCGCTCACAGCAGAGTCTGAACTTTGCCCCCTTGCTGACTGGTTATGGCTAGAAAGGATCCGTCTTGTGTAAATATGACGTCACGTTCTCGTTGTAAATCTCGTTGTAATCGGAGCGGCTCGGAAACACATCTACAGCAGTAACATGCAACATACACATTAATGCAGCAGCAATATTAAGAGAAACATTAGACATAATAGTAAAACACTGAAAGCGAACATTTCACCAGGAGCTATCTTGGGACTTTTACTGCGACAACGTTGACTTGCCTGTGAATAAAAAATAAACCATAGTGTTGGTGATCTAGCAGTGTTGCCATTCTTTTTTGAACAGCAAGACCCGCTAACACCCTATTTCAACAATCACTACTCCCTGTAATTGACATAATTAATAGATGGTTTAGCTTCTCTCACCATCATTTGTTGTGGCCACTGATGTTAAAGGAGAGGTGTCATGGCCATTTCCACTGATCATAATTCCATTGTTGAGGTATACTAAAATAAAAAAATACTGTGCAATTTTCCAAACTCACATTGGTTTCGCATACAGCATCTCTGTAAAGTATGTGTTTCAGCAGTAGGCTATTCACTTTCTCCACTAAACGGCTCGCTGCAGCTCCCCCCCTCCCCCTCCCAGTGAGCCCAGTGTGCTCTGATTGGTCGGTACGTTGTGAATCGCGCTGAGCTCCGCGGAGGTGTGATTTCCTTGTTTAGCGATACAAAGCCAAACACAGCCAAACTCAACCTGAACACACACAAAGTCACAGCCGAAATAAAAACAATTGTGTGGCTTGATATTTATTGAGTAAGAAAAAGGTTTATAGGTTGATAAACGCTGTGAGAATGGGTCTGCAGAGAGAATTTCGCCGCGATCCCAACTGTCTGTTATCAGCCTGCAGCCAGGGAGCAGAAATCAGCAGAGCTGCCTGCACTGAGTGTGTGTGTGGATTGTTCAATTTGGACCAATCAGCGAGGGCTTAACGTAACGGCTCCGTAGACGTAACGTAACGGCTCCACGGATTGGCCCATTTAGTTCCGGGTACGTGCTCCGGAAGAATCAAATGGATGATGACGTTTCACCAACGAGGCCTTTTGGGGAGGTATTTTCTGTGTTAGAGTTTTACTCGCTACAGGGTGTACTTTAAGGGTTTTGACTCTGCACACCGTTTACATGCAGAAAAACCTTAATAACACACAAGGGGACGGGTAATAACCGGAAAAGCATGACATGGGACCTTTAAGTCAAGCTAAGGTACATGTGATGGTAGCTAGTTAGTACTCTTACCTGTGAGGCCTCCTCCAAACAGCATAATAACC